AGAAGTGTTTGAGGTGCATCTACACATTAGTGTTTTAATGTAGATCAGAGTTTGCTTTTGGAGTGAGTCTCCTGAGCATCATTATCAGTTTGTTTCACATCACGGACCAGTCTGAGATTTCATGTGGTGGATTTCTTCTGGATGAGCATAACTGGAAGAGATGATCCATGGGGACCTGATGTGCTTTAGCGACTAATGGGCATGGTGTTCATGCGACCAGCCTAGAACTAGTTTAAGGAAAAGGAGAAGTTTGTGTATGTGTAGTGCAGGCATCAAATCCATCAGCACCAGCTGTTTTGCTCAACAGATGTGTTTCTGTGATTCACATAACTTCCTAGTGTGGAGACACCCTGGGGTGTTTGTAGCTGATTCTGGAATGATCGGCTGGTGGGCAGCGCAGGCGAATGCAGCTTGCGATAAGTGTCCCCCATCACATGCTGCTGGGAATCACCCAACTAACCAATAATCTTATAATTGTACAGAATGGTAATATGGACTATAGTTTTCAGTTACAAAGTCAAATCAGTATTAAAAGCAGCATGCACACATTTCTGAAACCTGGAATATTTCTGCTTTTTAGTAAATCCATTGTGTTTTTTCAAGTACACTAAAATAGGTCATATATGTCTACATTTATATTGTATTTTGCATAAGTAAACATTATATTTTTAGAACGTATTCTGTTCTTTTCAGTGTTAATTTCCCAGTGGGCTACATTGCCATTGCATCCTGGAGCTGGCATATACTTTTACTGTCTCATTATTTCATTTGTATAGCAAATCTACTTTATGACATGACAAAAAAGGCACAGTAGCGTTTTGGAAAGGTGGTGGTTTTGAAATGGAGCCTACAAACAAATAGTTGACAAGTTATCTTTTGCTTCCCATGTTAATGCTACCAGATTAGTTGGTGTTCACTTCAACTGGATTACTTAACCCCAAGAAGTGCGTGCAGGGTTTGGCCCAAAGCACATGCCTCAGTGTGAGATTCCATACTTAATATCTTCAAGTTAATGTTGGTATATTTAGTTCCTCCTATTGCTTGGTGAAGTTTATTTCATCTGGATTCTTTTACAGATGAATAGAAACTTCTGCTAAGTGGAGTAAGACCTCAGTTGAGATCAGTCTTAGAAGTGGTAAGAGTGAAGTCTGTCAAACCACAAGAAGGCAGTCATATCTCGCAAGTGCGGTGGAGACACAAGGATTCCTGTGGCTCATTTGTTTTTACAGCTTGTGTTTATCTAGTAGTTTTTCGGTCCATGTGAGAAGACAGTACTGTAAGGAGAGAAAAGGTGTCCCGTGCTTGAGACGCAAATTTAATCCAAACAATACGTAGTCTGTATTTTTAAAACTACGGATCTTTTGCTGTTTCATTGGTAATGACCTTTGGATTTCAATGACTGTCTTTCTAGGAACCTACTAATGATGACAGCCAGAGAACAAATACTGTTGTGTCTCACAATTTAGGTGATGGTTGCTGATTTTACTTAATTCCTTTTGTAATTACTCTGATCCTAATGTTTTTTCTGTGTTTTCATTTTGGTGCATGTAAAGTTGTAGCTTTAGATATTTCAGTGTAAACTCTAATGAAAACAGTCTGTAATAGACAAAAAGGTTGAAGATGAGTTTGCATGAACTCTTTAGAAAATATCAGTGCAAAGTTGAGGTCAATGCAGTTCTATTTGTACCCATTCATGTACAGGACAACCCGCTATATCATTGTGATAGGAGTTGGCACATTACAGGTGATGGCAGCATTAGTGTAAATCCAAAAAAAAACCCGACTGAGACCTAAAAATTATTTGTTATATGCGTTTTCTGGTGTTAAATACAGATGTTTAAAATTTGACTGCAGTGTTAGTCAGGCTGTTACCCGTGATAATTTAATTTTAGTTTAAATTTACAAATTGCAGTTATGTCACCAGAAGAACGAAATGTTAGCCTGATCTGTTTTATAACTATTTCTTACATTCAGTCATCTCTTTAACTTCATTACTTTGGGTTAACCAATAACTAACATTTACTTTTCTACAGTTTAAACATCTCTGGTATAGAAATGGCTTCTGGTAGGGAGGATGTACATTTATTTTAGCTGTGAGGGATCACAGTGGCTAGTTACAGTAACAGAAGAACTCGAGGTGTGTGTTCCAAAATGTGTTCTTCCTTTTGGCTTCCTTTTCAGAATACTGTTTATTGGTTAATTTTTTTATATAAAGAGTTGTATGTACTTGTAAGATGGCAGAGGAAATACATGTACACAATTGAGCTTAAGGCTGTATTTCTACATAAGTTTTTATATAACACACTTATCATGAAGTTATCCAAGTGTCTGAGGGTAATATATTAAGCAACGTGACTAATATCCGCTAAGTACTGTTTGTTCTCTTACCTTTTCTTGCATTAAAGTCCTATGCGGTGATTTTTTTTGTTTGTTTCGGTAGGTTTTATATCTTTTGTTGTTTTGCCTGGTTTGGGTGATCTTTATTTGGTTTAGTTGTTGAAATTTTGCTGTGTGCTTTTGTTAACTATAGCAAAGTCTAAAGACATTTCTTATACATCAGGAAAAAATGAAGATGTTGTTATAGCACAGTCTCCTGCTCTCAGACTCAGCAAGGGCTGGCTGCTCCCAGGGGATGGGGAGCCAGGGGCCGAGGGTGACCCTATCGCAGGCGGTGGCTTCTCCGAGGGGAGCGGCCCCACAGGGTGGGCAGAGCTGGGTGCTGGTAACAGGGTCGTCACCAGTCTCAGGCACGGCAAGCGATGAGCCAGGGTCAGGGGCAGCCAGGGGCAACTGTGGGATGAGCGGTTTCATGGTGTGCTGGGTGAAGATCTGGCTGAAGGGCAGGGTTCAAAGGGTTCTCGTGAATGTGGCTACCTCTGGCTGGCAACCAGTCACCAGCGGTGTTCCTCAGGGTTCAGTTCTAGGGGCAGTCTTCTTCAATGTATTAATCAATGATCTGGATGCAGGAGTTGAATGCACTATTAGCACATTGCTGTTGATACCAAACTGGGACATGCTGTTGACTCTTTTGAAGGAGAAGAGGCCTTTCAGACAGATCTAGAGAGATTAGAGCATTGGGCTATGATTAATGGGATGAAAGTTAACAAGTAAAAATGCTGGATTCTGCACCTGGGATGGAGTAATGTCAGGCACGTATAAAAAGGGAGAGGTGTAGCTGGAGAGCAGCCCTGCAGAAAGGGATCTGGGGTGCTGGTTGGCAGCAGGCTCAACAGGAGTCAGCAGTGTGCCCTGGCAGCCCAGAGGGCAAACTGCACCCTGGGGTGCATCTAACACAACATAACCAGCTGGTCCAGAGAGGTGATTATCCTGCCGTATTCAGTGTTGGTGAGGCCTCACCTTGAGTACTGCATGCAGTTCTGGGCCCCACAATCTAAGAAGGTTAAGGTACTCAGATGTGTCCAGAGGAGGACAAGAAGGCTGGTGAAAGGGCTAGAAGGAATGTCCTGTGAGGAGCAGCTAAGGACTTTGGGCTTATCTAGTTTGGAGAGAAGACAGCTGAGGGGCGACATTGCTCTCTGCAGCTTCCTGAGGAGGGCAAGTGGAGAGGGAGGTGCTGAGCTCTTCTCTGTGGGATCCAGTGACAGGATGCGTGGGAATGGCTCAAAGCTGTACCAAGAGAGGTTTAGACTGGACATTAGGAAGCGTCTCTTTACTGAGAGAGTGGTCAAATGCTGGAACAGGCTGCCTAGAGAGGTGATTGATAACCCAAGCCTGTTGGTGTTTGAGGCATTTGGACAGTGCCCTTAATATCATGCTTTAACTTTTAGTCAGCCCTGAATTGGTCAGGCAGTTGGACTAGATGATTGTTGTAGATCCCTTCCAACTGAAATCCCCTCCCCTCCCCTCCTTTTTTCTTCTTTCTCTTCTAAAAGAAGATGGGGCCAAAGACAGGGCTGGAGGTGAGGCCTCAGGACACGGCCCCAGGTCCAGTCAAGAGGCGGGGCCAGACACAAGCTACAGGGTACAGCCAGGAGATGAGCTGCCCACCGCCTAGGTGAGATGTCCATCCACGAGGCAGGGCCAGAGGCAGGCACAGCTCGCAGATGGACTGATGGCTCCAGCTGGGCTGAAACGGGACTTCTGGGCCTGTGGACAGGAGGTGAGGGTGGAGACCCCAGGTGAGGTCTGTTAAGGCCTACTTAGGTTTTCAGGGCCCTGACAGCTGCCCACACAACATTGAAATGTGACAAAGGTGAAAATATCCCCTGACTTCTCTGGAGGAATCACAATTATAAAGTGAAAGTTAAGGATTTTTGAAAAACAACGTGGATAAAATTTAAGATATTATAATACTGTATAAATTATGCCAAGACCCGTTTTGAACATTGCATGCTGCTGCTGTCCTTCCATCTCAAAAAGGTACAGCAGAAGTAGGAAAACTACAGAGAACAGTAACAAGAGAGACCAAAAGCGTGGAACGAGCCATTAGCTGCTCATCCAGTTCTTACGCTTTTGCTTCAGTAACCTTTTGTAGCCACTCTTGAATAGGTGGTATTGTGGTATTTGGAACATAGTTCAGTTCTCTATGATTGCTATAAAATATTTAGGCATGATCTGTTAGATTGTGTGAGGAAAGCTGGTCTGAGGACCCATGGAAGAGCTCAGAGAGGCGATGGCACGTGGGGGATCCCAAATCACGCCCTGCCCGGCTGCTCCCAGCCCCACCACAGGAGCCATCAGCCCATCAGAGGCCCATCCCCACCAGGCCGGGGGAGCACCGCGTCCCGAAGGCAGACGGGGGCCCCGGGGCCCCGATAAAGGGCTCGGAGGGAGGGACGGCCTCTCCGGGCCCTCCCAGGGCTGTCCCACAGAGCCACCGAGGTGACTCAGTGCCAGAGACACTGCCTGGGGCACGGCACGCATTGTGGGGGGCAGGGGAAGAGCAGTCTGGGGTTGTGCAGGGCTTGTTGTGGGGAAATAGAGGGGTAAGGGGTAAAAAGGGCGGGATGCATGTCAATAGCTGATGTGGTTGCCCTGCCATGTGGCCTGGGGCCGTGGAGGGGCAAATCCAAGATCCAGCCCCCGGTGCGAGGTGGCGGGGCTCAGGGGCACGGCCCGTGCCTGCAGTGCCCGTGGCCGACAGTCGAGAGCCGGTGAAGAGCCGGGGTAACCAGCGAGCCTGTGGGCGGGGAGGTGGCCGGGGGCTGTGTGCCTCCGGGGCAAGGGGACAGCAGGCTCGTGGCTGCAAGAGCCAGGGGAGCCCTGACCAGCTCTGGCTGTGTCATGCTGTGTCTCCGAGGGCAGGACCACAGCCGAGTTGGCTACTGGGATCCCATTCTGCTCTGCCAGTGTGCGTGGCAGGCTGTCCCTGTGTTCTTTGGAGCTTGCATGTCCAGGTGCTGGTGACTGGGGAGACTGGGATCCGGCAGCAGCTACTGGGCAAATCTAAATTTTCTGCAGTATGTGACAATGTTTTGTATTAGCTAGAACTTCCTAGTAGCAGTTAGGGTTATCACGCGGTTTAATACAGCTTAGAAGTGATGAAAGAATAACTAGCCAAGTTCTGATCATTTTCTGTCAGGATGAAATGAAGTATCCCAATCAAATGATTATAATGGAAACTGCAACTGTACGTGCGAGCACCATCCTGTGTACCTAAGTGCCAGAAATGGTCCTGTTCAATAACATTCAACCTAAGATTTTTTTGATGCTTGTTTTATTGAATTTCTTTCCTTATTAGAACCATTATAAGGCAACAGAAGTTTCTTACTAAGGAATTAATTTTTCCTTAAGACGTAATTTACGATGAACTAAGAAACTATAAGAGGAACAATAAATGCGTGTTTCAATTGTTTGTATGTCCTTCCTACCTTCCCTGGTTCGTTAGACAAGGAACCAGAATACATCTGGGATTCTGTTGTATTTTATGGGTGGTTTCATTACATGCTCATCCTCTTCTATCCATGGCTTCTTCAGTGGAAGGTCTTCAAAGTTGCCATAGGTTGGACAAGCAAGTAGAAGTGAGGACACTAAAACTATATTTGCATAAATTATCCTTGAAGGAGCAGTCTTACTTCCCAGAGGTGGACCTTGTCATTGGGCTTTATGTCCTTGCTTGTTTGCTGTCTCTGACTCTGTATAGCTCCTGTTCACTTCTACAGCGTGGTTCAGTTTTGCTGGCCAGGTTTCAGTCTTCATTCTGGCCTGTTGCTAAGAGTCATTACAAAGTGCACAAAGGCTTAAATTTGTTCTAGTGAAAGACTTCCGGGGCAGGTGTTCAAGATGTTGTATAAACAGATATCCTCTTTTGTTCTTTCTGCCATACTTTCAAAGAAAAATGAGTGTCATTTATTTTTATGCAAAAAAATAACGAAATACCAGAGCTCAGGAGAGGTGAGACTGTGGTTCCCTGTCCATACGTCTGCTACAAGTTAATGTTTAATCTCAAGAGAAAGGCTTTGAGAAAGAAATTTTTCTTTGGCATTTCATATCTGCTGGGTTTGGTATCTCTCGCCACTAAGTGTACAGGCTTTTCTAAAATTCATTCCTAGATGCATGCTTTGGTATTTGGGAACTAGAAAGCCTAGTTTGAATTTGTTGATTCCATACTGCACCTTAATTTCATGCTTCAGAGTTGGGCCTGGAGACACACAGCACTGCCATAGATAACTCCCTAGTAAGCATGCAGCCAGGAAGTATGTCAGGCACAGTATAAATTACATTTTACCATTACATATAATTTTGTGCTGTTGAGATTTTTGAAAGGTTAAGGAAAGTGTTGGGAACCTGTCTCTTTAAATTCATCATTGCAGCAGCGATTGATTTGTCTATTGAAATGCTCTGTTTCATGTCAGTGGGTACGGTTATTTGAAAGGCTTATTTCTATGCGCTTTTTTTTGTCATTTTGAAAGACTCAGTGAAGTCATCAGGAGAGGCCACTTCTGAGAGACAGCAGTTTCACTCAAAAGTGAATTGAAGATTGGGCAGGGGAGGAAAGACTTCCAAAGCCGATAATAGATATACTGGTATTGTCATAGTAGATTAAATGGCTGGTTCCTTTTTCACAGCTGATCTCTGGCATTTCAAAAGAAGGATTGTATCTGCTAACATAATTATGGACAGAGATGCGAATGAAGGATTTTTTTTTTTTTTTCCCCTTGTTACTCCATGAAAGACCAGTTTTTACTTGCTTGTGAAGGTGATTAGGGTATTAATTTTTTTCCCTGGGGCACACTGTAGACAGGTGAAGACTGATTCTTCATTGCCTCTCTACATGCATTTTTTTTCTTACAAAAGATGCTGCACAACTTTTATTTTTTCAAGGCGTAAGAGGGCACAGAACACAGATGTTTCTGTCTTAACTGTTTAGGCCCAAGAACATTTGTGGTTTACCAGAGGAAAGCAAGTGTGCACATTTACTTGCTGAAATGAAGCATAGTAAGAATGATTAGAGATGCCATCTTATCAGTTTCATTAAAAAGACTTGTGGCTTGTATTGTCATGAAAAATTTGAATTATAAATCTTGTAATATTTGTCTGATTTCCCCCCC